ATAAGGAGCTTGGAAGGTAAGTTTTACCATGAGAACACACACCACATAAGACATGATAAAGGTTAAAAACTAAGGCAACCAAGGTTAAGAATTGAGGCAGGCGGGGCGGGGGGAAGAAACGAAGAAATGTCAGGCGAGACTTTGGGGTGGTGAGAGTTTTATGATTCTTTTTCTTCTCTCTTATTTTATTTTTTCTTTTCTTTTTTCCTTTCCTTCTCTCTTTTTTCTTTTCTTTTCTTTGTGTTTGCCAGAAAGAAACAGACAGAAGTAGAGAGGGAAAGTCAGGAATCACCCCTCCAGGGGGATGGCCACAGAGCAATACCTTTCACTCCTTCTCCTCTCGGTATGTGAGGCACATGTGCACACTCCACCTGTGTCATTTTCAAGCCACCAGGTCTGGGACTTGAACCCAGTTGGCCATGTCAGAGTCCAGCCCCTTACCATCACCACCTGCTGGCCCCTCCTAATCTTTTTGTAATGTCCTGTGTGGCCGTGTCAAACAAATTTTAGCTGAGGCTCATGGAGCAGAAAGCGTCAGTGCTCAGGGAGAACAGGGCCCCTTGGTTCTAGAGAACCTGGCCCAGAGCCATTTGGGAACTCACAGCCTCGCTCACTTCCTTGTGGCTCACATGGCACATCTGATTTGGAAGAACTGTGCTGCGTGTTAGTATCTTACACAGTCTAGGGATTTTAGGGAAAACTCTAAATCCAGCCTCTACAAAGCACTGAAGACGGAAATGTATGCAAACCAAGCCAAAAGGGAAGAGCACAGGGGAAACCCCAACAAAGGATGCTCACCTTTCAGGCTATGTTGGCCAGGAAGCAGCTGCGTGGATTCTCATGGCCTGCGGTTTGGTGGAAATTCCGGACTTCCGTTGTCCCTTTCACAGCCACTACTTCCCTCTGCCCAACGACACGGGAGACCAAGGCCTCCTTAGCAGCCTCAGGGCTCGTGACTGCTCTGCCCTCTTAGAGGCTGCTTTGCGAAGCGCTTGGATGGGCTTTGCTCGGCCGGCTCCTTGCAGTCTGGGAGCCAGGCCTGAAATGGCCGGTTTCGCTCGGGCCGCCTGAGGTCATTTCATCTGCAAGGTGGTTTCTGTCCTGAACTGACAGTCGGCGGCTCTTACAATGGGAAGAATCAGAGCTTCGATGAACCGCGGCTCTACCGAAATCTCTTTCCTAAAAACAGAAGCACACATATTAAAACAGAACGGAGTGAATCTTTAAGCGCTTGTGAAATACGGATACTTCTTTATTATTCCATTTTGGTCAACAATATAAACTAGAAAATAAAGTTGTGGGGGACCAGCAGTTGGTGTAATGGCTTTTTTTTTTTTTTTTTTTTATATAGTTTGGGGTCTGTTTGAGACATTTTTCTATAGGATCTGTGCGCTCACCAGACAGACAGAGACAGACAGAAAGTGAAAAATCATGCCCCAAGGGAGATGGCCACACCACAATTCCTTCTCCTTCATTCTCTCCTTGGGATTTTGGGCATGCACACACATGTGCCTGGCATGAGCTTCAAGCTTCCAGGTCCCGTACTCTAACCGTGGTTAATCATGTGGGAGTCCAGCACCTTAACCACCACACCACCTGCCAGCCCTGTTTTTTCATATTTGTGTCTAACCACTTCTTTAATAATAATAATAATAAGGCCCAGGCTCCACAGTATAGTCAGTAGCATTTCAGACTGCTTAGGTGGAAACCATGTCAGCCACAGTTGAAGTCCCCAGTCTGGCTGCCCTGAAAGCACATTGAGTACATGCATCCAGGCAGGCTGCAGGACTGGAGGAACAGGGTCACTGCATGATACAGCCCTGTGGAAGGCTCGCTCGCTCTCTTTCTCTCTCTCTCTCTCTCATGCACATACATCTATTGTGAATTTTTAAAAAGCCATAAAGATGTATTGGTTTTGCTGATTAGGAAATTATGATAGGGGCCAGCAGATGGCATAATGGTTATGTCTCTGAACACCATGTGGTCGACTGAGGCTCAAGACCCAGACCCAGCAGCTTAAAACTTAACACCAGGCATGTGTACCCAAAATCCCAAGAGGAGAATGGAGGAGAAGGGATTTTGTCTTGGCCATCCCCTTGGGGAGTGATTTCTCACTTTTTGTCTCTCTGTCTCTCCAGCAAGCACATATGCCTTATAGCAAAAATCTTTCTAAAAAAAAAAAAAATAGACATTTAACAATTCTAAAAATATAAAAAGTTTAACAATATTAAAAGGGTTAACTAAAAGAATATAAAATTGGCTAAAATAAGTTTATTGTTTTGCAATAAAAACTACTAAGTTAATGCAAATATTAATAACTTTTAAAATATTTACTTTATTTATCATTATTATTATTATTATTAATTTGACCAGAGAGAAAGAAAGGGAAAGTGAGAAAGCAATCTGCCAGGTCTGGAACTTGAACCATGTGGGAGTCCAGCACTTTAACCACTGTGCCACCTGCCAGTCGCCAAATATTCATAACTCTTGCAAGTCTCTTCTGAAAACTCTCCAAAGAGTTTATTTTAATCTTGTTTTAATTGACGTCAAATGTTTTACATAATATTACATAAGGATATATTTTTGTAATGGTTTAAAGAGAAAGTCACAACCTGTTTTATAGTCATTATGTTTATTTTTTTAAGAATTATTTATTTTATTTTATTTAGTATTATTACTTTTTTTTTTTTAGAGTTTTTTGCTATAGGGTGCATGCGCTCGTCAGAAAGAAAGACAGAAAGCGAGAAATCACCCCCCAGGGGTTATGGCCACGCTGCAATTCCTTCTCCGCCATTCTCCTCTCATGATCTTGGGCACACACGCACATGTACCCAGCGTGAGTTTAAGCCACCAGGTCCAGCACTCAAACCAAGGTCGACTACATGGGAGTCCAGCAACATAGCGATTACACCAACTGCTGGTCCCACTATTATTACTATTTTAATTTGCTATAGGTCATGTGTACTTACCAGAGAGAGACAGATAGAGAGGGGAAACGTGAGAAAACAAGCTACCAAGCCCAGGACACAAACTATGGTCAGCCTCGTGGGAGTCCAGCACCTTAACCCTCACGGCCCTATTCCTTGTTTCTAATGATTGTCATTGAACAGAATTAAGCAGCCAGGCACAGGTTCATTTAGGGGCTTTGTAAACCAGGTTAAAGACATACTCCGATCTTCCAGACCATGAACTCTCACTGGCACTTCGCCTCTACCTGACCAGTAATGCTGCTTTTTATCGAGGATCTTCTCCTGTGTGCTGCTTTGCTGGCTCACTCTGTCAGCTCTGGGCTCTCACTGAGCTCCCAGCTTACTGGATCTTTCCATGTGGCTATTCTCAGGGTACATCAACTCACTGTGTCTATAAGTGAACTTGCCATCATTCCCCCAACCTTGCCCTTCATCAGTGTTCACCAGCCTCCCTGGATGCGATAGAGTGATGGATCCAAAATCCAGTGTGAGTCACACAATTTAACCTATGAAAAACCAGGAAGCCACATAATATATTAGAGGTTTTTAAAATATGTTTTAGGGCCAGACAGTGGTGCAGTGGTAATGCGCCAGAATTGAGGATAAAAACCTGTTTATCTCAATAGCTGCAATAAAATCATCTGACAAAAGTCAAGTGTGGCTCTGTGATACTGAGCTCACGTGGGAAGGCCCCAGATTCGCATCCAAGGCCTCCCTCTGTCCACCAGGTAGGAGTGCCTCCGCCATGATCCAGACCGGCTGGGGCTGGGCGTGGGTTATGGCCTGAGGGCCCTGTTGGGGTGACGGCCTCCCTCTTCCTCTCTGTCTTGCTCTCTCATGGAAGAAAGGAATAAATAAAGTTTAAATTTCTTTTTAATGTGGAGAGGTTTCCAGTGAAATATAGAAATTCGCAATGCAGTTTCTGACTTAGAAATCCCTGACTATAAAGCTCTCTTATCTGGACATGGGTCTCTCATTCAGGAGTTGAACTCCAATTTCTTACTGAAAACAGGGCCTCCACATTGTGAGACTCCAGAGTCATGCAATCCTAGGCGAGCGGCACTCCACTAGTGAGGACGGTGCCTGCTAGGGTCGGCAACAATATGGTACTGGCAAGATGTGCTCGCCCCTTTGTCTTAGAATTGCCCTTTCCCGGGACCAGCAGTTGATGTAATGGCTATTTAGGACTCTTATGTAGTTGACCGTGGTTCAAGTCCTGAACCTGGTGGCTTAAACTCACGCCGGGTGCGTGCATGTGCATGTGTGCCCAAGATCCCGAGAAGAGAATGGAGGAGAAGGGATTGTGGCGTGGCCATCCCCCCAGAGGGTGATTTCTTGCTTTCTGTCTCTCTGTCTCTCTCTGTCTTTCTGGTGAACGTGTGCGCCCTATAGCAAAAAAATCTCTCAAAAAAAAAGAAAGAAAGAAAGAAAGAAAGAAAGAAAGAAAGAAAGAAAGAAAGAAAGAAAGAAAGAGTTGCCCTTTCCAGTACTCCTTTACATTTTCTTCCACTGCTGGGAGCAGTGGGACTCTCGGACTCTTCTGATATTTCTGGGGCATCCCATATCATTCCCTACTGCCACTGGGGTCACCAGGACCCTCTCTTGACTGGTCAGGGTTCCCTCTGATGCCACAGGGACCTAAAACGCCACTGCTGTGCTGAGACTCCACGAAGCAGCATGGGAACTGGGGTGTGGGGAGGTGAGAGTCGGCCCCGCTCAGCAGAACCTAGAATGACTTTCCTCGTGGGTATGAGGCTGTCATTCTGGTTGTGGCATACTACGACCAATCCCGTGAGTAAGCCTGGATGTGTGAAATAGGACCCGGGGGGGCATTCTGAAAAGTAAACCTGCTACATAACACTATGGGTGTGAGGAAACGTCTTCTGAACTGATTTCCCGGAGAACATTTGGAGTGCAAGCAACGGATAGGTAAGTCCAGATAAATGGATTTTGGAATGTTTTACTTCAATGTTCTTCTTCTTCTTTTAACCTTTTATTTATTTATTTGTCTATTTACTTGTGATTTTCAAGCCACAGTGTCCAAGGAACACCTCAAGGAATTAGAAATAAAGACAATGGAACCAGACACTAGCCAAAGGAAGAAAAAAATAACAAGCAGAAACAGAAACTAGAAAAACTATAGATGATATTAATCGAAGTAAGTATTTTTTAGAAGATATCCAATATTGAAAAACCTTTAGCTAAACTAAGAAAAAAACTGAAGTCAACAAATAAAATTATAAAGAAGAGATATTACAACTGATACCACAGATATAAAAGGATCATAAGAGACTGTTATGAATAATTGTATACAATAAGTTGGATAGCCTAGACAAAATAAATTCCTAGACACATACAACCTGCGAAGATTGAATTATGAAGAAATAGAAAATCTGGGGGCCAGCAAGTGGCATGGTGGTTAAGGATGCTGGAATCCCATATGGCTGGTGAGGTTTGAGTCCTAGACCTGGCGGCTTGCTCTCTCTCTCTCTCTCTCTCTCTCTCTCTCTCTCTCTCTCTCTCTCTCGCTCTGTCCCCCTCTGGTCAAATTAAAATAATAGATAAATAAAGTTAAATAAAATAATTCTAAAAGAAAAAAAAGAAAAGAAATATAAAATCTGAGCAACCAATATTGAGTTGGTAGATAGAATCAGAAATGAAAAACCTAGAACCCAGTGGCTTCATTGCTGAATTTTACTAAAAATTTAAAGAACGATTCGTTTAAATTCTTCTCAAACTCTTCCAAAAAAAATTGAAACGGAATGAATACTTCTAAACTCCTTTTATAGACCAGTATTACCCTGATACCAAAGCCAGGCAAGAACACCACCACTAGAAAAATAAATAAATAATTATAGACTATTATCACTGATGATCATAGATACAAAAATCCCCAACAAACTACTAGCAAACTAAATACAATAGCACATGAAAAAGGTCATACTGCATGATCAAGTGGGATTTATTTCTGAGATGCAAGGATAATTCAACATATGGAAATCAAAACACAATGGTATGCCATATTAATAGAATTGAGGGTAAAAATATTACACTCATCTCAGTAGATACAAAAAAATCATTTGACAAAATTCAACATAAAAACTCTCAACAATTATGAATAGAAAGACAGTACCTCAACATAATGAAAATCGTGCATATGACAATCCCACAGCTTACATCATACTCAACAGGGAAAAGCTAAAGCATTTCATCCAAAATTAGGAACGAGACAAGGATTCCCACTCACACCACTTCAGTTCAACATACTGAAACTACTGAAATCCTAGCAGGAGCAATTAAGAAAGAAAGAAAAATAAAAATCATAAAAGTTGGTAAAGAAAAGTTGAATGGTCTGTTTACAGATGGCGTGATCTTATATAAAAACCCTAAAGACACCACCAAAAAATCTATTGGGTCTAATACACAAATTCTGTAAAAGTGCAGGATACAATCAACATACTAAAATCAGTAGCATTTCTGTATACTAACAAACTCTCCAAAAAATAATTTTTAAAAAGTTCCATTTATATTAGCATTGAAAAATAAAATAACTTAAGAATAAATGTGACCAAGAAGGTGAAAGATCTGCTGCTGAAAACTATACAACATTGATGAAAGAAACTAGAGAAGGCACAAATAAATGGAAACATACTCCATGTTTATGGACTAGAAGATTAACATCGTTAAAATGTTCATATGACCCAATGCTATCTACAAATTTAATACAACCCCTATCAACATTCTAATGACATTGTTTCACAGAAATAGAAAAAATATTTATAAAATTTCTATTTATATAATACAAATACCATAAATAGCCAAATAGTTTTGAGCAAAAAAATGAATAATAATAAAGCTGGAAACAACACATTACTTTATTCCAAAATGTACTACAAAGCTATAAAACAGACATATTTTAAAAGGCATCACAACAAACACATATCCCAATGGAACCAAGTAGAGATTCCAGAAATAAATCTATGTGTTTACAATCAATTGATCTTTGACAAAAGTACCAAGAACAAACACAAGGAAAGGACAGTCTCTTCGATAAATGAAAATCTGGATAGCTGCATACAGAAGAATGAAACTGGGTCCTTACCTCACACCATATAAAAAAAATCAACTCAAAATTAATTAAAGATTTAAACATAAAATCTGAAATTGTAAAACCACTAGAAGGAAATAGGGGGAAAAAACTCCTGGACATTAATCTGAGCAATGACTTTTTAAAACTACAACCTATAAAGCATAGGCAACAGAAACAAAAATAGGACAAATGGGATTAAACTAAAAGGTTTCTGCACAGCAAAGGAAACAATCAGCAGAGTGAAGAGACAACCTACAGAAAGGGTGAATATGTTCATAAACTATACATCTGATAAGGAGTTAATATTCAATATATATAAAGAACTCAAACAACCCAATAACAAGAAAATAAATACCCTGATTTTTAAATGGACAAAAGTCATGAATAGACAATTCTCAAAAGAAGACATAAAAATAGTCAACAGGCATTTTAAAATGCTCACCAATCATCAGGGAAGTGCAAATTGAAACTACAATAAAATATCATCTCACACTCATTGGAATGGCTATTATCAAAAAGACAAAATATAACATGTGTTAATAAAGACATGGAGAAAGGGAACTCTTGCATACTCTTGGTGCAAATGTAAGTTGGTGCAGCCATTATGTAAAACAATATCAAAGTTCCTCAAAAATTTAAAATAGATTTATCATATGATGATGCAGCAATCCCACTTCTGGGAACATATGCAAAACATATGAAACCAGTATGTTGAAGAAATATCTGCACTCCCATATTCATTATAGCACTAGTTATAACTGTCAAGATACAGAATCGAGCTGAATGTCTATCAACAGGTGAATGGGTAAAGAAAATGTAACATGTAAACACAATATAGGATACTATCCAATATTAAAAAAAAAAAGGAAATCCTATTATTTGCATTAGCATGGATAATCCTACAGACCAGCAGTTGGCATAATGGCTATGTCACTGGACTCCCATGTAGTCGACTGCAGTTTGAGTCCTGGACCTGGTGGCTTAAACTCCCACCGGCGTGTGTGTGTGCATGCCTGCCCAAGATCCCAAGAGGAGATTGGAGGAGAAGGGATTGCAGCATGGCCATCCCCCCCGGGGGGTGATTTCTCGCTTTCTGTCTCTGTCTCTCTCTGTATTTCTGGTGAGCACACGCACCCTATAGAAAAAACAAACAAACAAAAAAAACCCAACTCTCCAAAAAAGGGAAAAAAATAGCACGGGTAATCCTGGAGGCCATTGTGCTAAGTGAAATATGGCAGGCACAGAAGGACTAACATTGCAGGATCTCACTGTATGTGAAGCCTAAAAAAGTTTAATTTATAGAAGCAGAGAGCAGAACCGTGGTGGTCAGGGGAAATGGGGGAGGGAGAAGGTGGTGATAGGCAGCTTGGAATGGGGAGATATTGATCCAAGGGTACAAATTTCAGTTACATGGGAGGTATACGTTTTGGAGATCTATTATACTGTATAGTGACTCTACCTAGTAATACTGTATTATATGCTTGAAGATAGCTAAAATGGTAGAGTTTAAATGTTTTTACCACAAAATAATGATAAATATGTGAGGTGAGGTTATGTTAATTGCTTTAATTTAATCATATCATAATGTTTACCTACATTGAAATAGTGTGTTGTACATCGTAAGTGCATACAATTTTTGTTTGTCAACTATACCTTTATAAAGCTCAGGAGAAAACAAAACAAAACAAAAGAAAAAAACCGCACACACACATACACACACACACACAGAACAACTGAAGATCACTTGGGAATATAAATAAGAAAACTTCTTTTAAAAAATAGCTAGTCACGGGACCAGCAGTTAGTGTAATAGCTATGTTGCTGATCTTCCATGTAGTCAACCATGGTTCAAGTCCCAGACCCAGTGACTTAAATTCACGCCAGGTACGTGTGCATGCGTGCCCAGGATCCCGAGAGGAGAATGGAGGAGAAGGGATTTTGGTGTGGCTATCTCCCCTGGGGGGTGACTTCTTGCTTTCTGTCTCCCTGTCTCTCTTTCTGGCAAGCATACATGCCCTGTAGCAAAAACTAAAAAAAGTAAAAATTAAAAAAGTAGTTAGTCAAAAACTTATCTTAAAACATCACTAGTAAAATCTAGTACTATAAATATAATTTGATCTCAGAATTTAAGAATAGTTCAAGCACTAGAAAAGTGTGATTTTAATATTTAAAGAAATTGAAGGAAAATAAAAATATGGTTATGATAACTGGTGCTAAAAAGATCAACTAGCCATTCTTTTCTTATTTTTTTATTCCGTTTAAGGTAAGTAAATCTCGCAAACACATTGAAGTTTACTTTCTAGAAATTAATAGTAAAAATTTTTTGAGAGGTTTTTTCTGTAGGGCACATGCACTCTCCAGAAAGACAGAGAGAGACAGAAATTGAGAAATCACCCCCCAGGGGGATGGCCACACCGCAATCCCTTCTCCTCTATTCTCCTCTCAGGATCCTGGGCATGCACGTATACGCGCCAGGTGTGAGTTTAAGCAACTAGGTCCGGGACTTGAACCACGGTCAATTACATGGTAGTCCAGCGACATAGCCATTACACCAACTTCTGGTCCCAGTAGTAAACATTTTAAATAAAGAAATACTAAAAGCACTTCATCAAAATTGAAAAAAAAAAAAAGAGGAATACCTTCTACCACCAACAATGATTGAGAGAAGGAAGGAACATTACAGATAATGGTATGAGATAAGAGAAGTAGCCCTGCTTGGTGTCACAGCTGCAGAGAAGTGGAATCCCACATGGGATCAGTCTGAGTCTCCAGACCAGTCTGCCTGAAGCAAGAGGTGCATGTGTGGAAGTGCCCCAGACCCAACAGGCTGAGGGACTGGAGGAAGGGAATGACAGTACAACGGGACCTTGCGAAGGTCTGCTTCTCTCTCTCTGTCATTTCTGCCTATACACACATGCTATTATGCATAAAGAGAGAAAATTAAAATTAAATAAATAAGAGAAATAGTCTAAAGTAAAAGTGAAAAAAAAAAAACAACAACAACAACAAAACAACTCTTTTATGCTTTTTACTGTTTTTCTTATAAGTGGGCCCAAGTTCCCCAAAAG